TTTATTTATTTATTTTTCATTTATTATTGTTAATATTTGTTATCCTTATTTTAATATTGATGATTATTGTTAATACTATTTTATTTATTTATTTAGCATTGATTTTGGATTGTTTAAGTTGTGCATTTGCATTACGATGTTTTAATTGCATTAATATTCTTGCATTTGATTGCAATGTTTGATTAATTGTGTTGTGATAATGCTATGCTTTGTTTTGTGTGGAATTGGGATGAAGATGGACCACCGTGGGTTTGTTCGGAGGACTGGTTTGTTTTGATATGGATCCCGAAGTATTATATTGATATTTGACCGTCGGCCGAGAAAAATGGGAGATCGGCGCCCCCGGTGCACCTGATGATCATGGATTATGTTGGAAACACCACAGGATGGCTTCTTGTTGTTGCGCACCTGATAATCTAGTTGATTGTAAGCCCCGCAGGGGTGGGCCTCTTGTTGTGAGCACTGATGATCTAGATTGGATTGGAGAACCACCGGGTTGCCTCCTGTGGATTGGAAAAGAAAAGGAGAGAATTGGAAAGTACAATAGAGGACTGGTCAGATGAGGATTAAAACCAGTTTAGGCCGTATGGGGATCGGCTCCCGGTGCACATTATGAGAGGGCGAGCCATGTGTGAGGACGGCTCGTTGGGGTTTCAGGTGAGCGCCACTGACTAATTCCACTTGCATGTGATTATATGAAGAATGTTATTGATTGTGAGTGCTGGTGATATGCCATTTGTGGACTGGCTTGGCAGTGAGCATTATAAACTAGTCGGATGACTAGATTAATATGTGTTACACATTTGTTGTGACTGGTGTGGTATGGTGCAATTAATTATTACTATCCTTAGAAAACTCACATGTTCTTGTTTGATTTTTCAGGAAGTAGCGTTTTTTCCTTAAATCCGATTTTAGGCTATGTTTCTTCGGCGCAGAGGCAATTAAACAATTTTTCCTAGATCCATAGATTATTTTACTATGGTATACTAACAGTTAGTGACTCCGGCAGTTGTAGATTTTGTATACTTTTAAACGTTTATTATTATAGACTGAGATAATTATGTGAATCCATATTGATTAAATGTGAGGCATTGTTAATTAAGGCCCGAACTGTTGAATGTTGTTAGCCCGATAAATTCGGCGAGATTTAATAAAATCTTGAGGTTTATTGTTTCCATAATCATATGGGACTAAATGATTAAATATATATTGAAGATGTTAGTTAAAGTTAGTGTTTTTCAGGCTTACTACGGGCCCTCGGGCCTTTAAGCTTTACCTGGGCCCTAGCTGCAACGGTCCGGGCCCACGGAAAATGGTCGTGACAAAAAAATCCTAACAAAAATTATTTATTAAAAAAAATACTTATAAAAAATAAACACTATCATTATTGAAATTACTTAAAAAAAAAACGGGTAAAAAAAACTATTTAAAAAAGTTATTGCTCGAACATAGCCTTTATATTATTTTTTCATTTTTTGAGTGTATATAATTTATATTTCCACGGGCTGAATTGATATTAGGCTGCCAAATCTCTCCAATGACAGATTATCGAAACTTTGACCTTGCAGCAGATAAAGTTATTCATGAGAAATATACATCATTTAAGTAATTCAATCATTTATTGGATTACATGAGATTTTAGATCATTTAAGAAGAAAACCATTTAAATTTGGTATAGTCACAATAAATTATTGAGTTAAAAATGGAATTTATACTTACCTTTTAGTTTAATACAATTTCTCTTTAAGAAAAAATCATTAAATTGAAGTAATAATTATTTTGGTAATATACAAAAAGGGTTAAACATTGGAAAAAACATTTATCACTTCTCGAAACCACAAATGTGACTTGTAATTTTAAGAACAACTTATTTTCTTCAAAATCTATTTTCTCAAATTGTGATAAATATTTTGGAACAATGAAGTTAATAAAATTTAATTTAATCTTTATAAAATTTTGTGAAAATTTACTTAAAAGATTTTATGGTATTTATTAGGAAAATTTTCGCACAAATTGCATGACAGTCAAAAAATTGTCGGCGGTGATATTAAATTATTAGTAAATGCACTTGCCACCCAAAAGCAGCGATATAGGAGAATGTGTGGGGTTGCTTTCCTCCTCCACCGAAATAGCCGGAAGCCTATAGAAATTTTCAAAAGGGGAAGCCCACACGTTCCCACCGTATTTAACGTGGCCGGAGCCCACCACTTATACACGTGTAAAATGAAATTTTGCGTCTCCATTCTCGCTTCATGCATGTCTTTCTGGAGGGAAACCACTTTCACTGCATCATTCTCTGACACTTTTCCTGATATCCAACCATGAAAAAAAATTAACACATTTCTCTTTTTTCCCGCAGCGAAATTTAAACCCTTTATTTGTTTAACAATCCTTGGTAAATAAAGAGTTTTTTTTTTTTTTTTTTTCAAAATCCAAAAAAATTAAAAAAAGAATTCTGTTTTATTTTTTATAATATTCATTTGTTTAGAATATAATTTCTGGTTTCCGATTTGGTAAGGTAAAGAATAATCCATGTATATGTTTTTTGATTTGAGTATTCTCTTTTTTGTTAAATACAAAAATAAAAATTGTAATATATTTATTATTGTTGGCCCGTATTATAGACAAACGTAATGTGGGTTAAGGTGCGGCAATTTGCCCTCCAACCCCTACCAAAAAATTGAATTTGTTGCAACATTTACTATATATATATAGTATATTTAAACCACCCGGTATTCGATATTCGATATTAATCGGAAATTTTAGATTACACACATTAGAATTCGTCAGCTATTATAATAATTTAGAGAGGAATATATAATTTATATATTTGATTCATCTGTCCTTTAGCCATTTTCATGATTAAAGAAAAAGAAAAAAAGAGAATTTTGTGGAAGACATTTTTAAAAACAAAATGAAAAGATTACGAAGCTGATGCTAGATTTTCTTCTTTAAAAGCAGTGGGATATTAATGGTGGGTTGGGGCAAGAAGGGGGTCAGCTGTTCCCTCGAAGCTTCAATGATTTTCTCAGAAGGCTGCAACTTTTACCCTAATTCGATGATGGACAGCCGGCCGTTCTACTTAGGAAACACCACAAGAAAGCAAAGAACTTTGTAATTGATACATATTTGTTTAAAGTTGAGAAGTTTCTCATATCACAATCACATGCAAAAGAAACAAGGAAAAGAAACAACAAACTAATAAATTACCATTATGTGCATTTTTGATAAAATTTAAAATAATAAAATTATCAGGAATGATGATTTCCTGTCGGGCTATAACAGCCGGTAAAGATGTTTTTATTCTTCCCATATTCTTATGTTTTTATGTTTTTTTGCAATAAAATATTTATTTTAACCAAATGCATATATATAAATTTTTCCAGTTTCAATTTAAGAGTATAAATGAAATGTTAATGAGGGCATTAATGTGCAAAGGACTTACGACCATCTTGTTATTGTTTAAGGTTTACCAAATTTTGATGCAAATTTAAAGATCCTTTGTGCATATATATTATATATATATAATCGAAGACTAGACGGCAGGGGGCGGGCGGGGCGGCGGGGGCGCGGGGGCGGGCGCCGGGGCGGCCCGGGGGGCCGGGGGGGAGGCGCGCCGCGCGGGCCGGGGGCGGCGCGGCGCGGGCGCGGGCCGGGGCGCGGGGGGGGGGGGGGCGAGGGCGGGGGGCGCGCGGGAGCGGGGGGGCGGCGGGGCGGGGCCGGCGGGGCGGCGGCGCGGGGGGCGGGGCGCGCGCGGCGCGCGGGGGGACCGAGCGCGCGGCGCGGCGGCAGGGCCGGGGGGGGGGGGGGCGCCCTGGGGGCGGGAGGGCGCGACTGCGGCGCGGCGGCTCGTGCCGGTTGGGGGGGCGGGGGCGGGGGGGGGGGGGGGGGCGGCGGGGGCGGCGCCGGGCGGGGGGCGGGGGGGGGGGGGCCGGGGAGGACGGCGGGCGCGCGGCGGGGGCCGGCGAGCTCGGGGGCGCGGGGGGGGGGGCGGCGCCAGGGGGGGGGTAGTAGTACTATATTAGTCCAATCGCAAGGACCGAAAATCCAAATCAAAGATTGCGGTGTACTATCGTGTGTAGGTTCAGCTTTGAAGTACTATTTTTTTCAGGCGTTTTGGTTTTAATTTGATTTTTTTAACATACTGGACCATTCAACACTCCGAACCATTGACAAACCCCCTAGTTTGGTCCCAATTATGGCAGTTGAACCTAAGAGAGAGGTGACTCGGGTTGATCATTTAAAAGACTGCTTCAAACCCTAAGATTTATTATTGCCAAATCGTGGGTGATAGGACATAAAAATAGAAAAACGGAGGAATTTATGTAATTCATGTAGTGGTTAGAACGGCGAAGGAAAGAGCATCTGTTCATTAGATATTATATTTCTCCAAGACAAGTGTAAACCCAACTGTAGCTCAAAGCCCCCATTAAACTGCCCCGCTTGGGAAGTTTCGTAGCCAATGTTCAAAAACCACAAGAACCTCTAAAACTATAGCTCACAAGCTCACAAGTGCTGCTCTGCTAAAGCCGTTTCACAATGGAGAAAAACATAATCATTCCAACACAAAAGCTCGCCACCAGGTGCTTTACCTTCATACGTCATCAGTAAATGTTTAAGAGTTTATTTTGAATGGGAAGGATAAGTCCTTTACAAGCAAATTTGATTAGTCAATTTCTATGAAGAAGCAGAAACTATTCAATTACAAATCACAGAAACAATTCCTTTCCCAAATCGACTACCAATCCTCAGTAGCAACTTAAACAACATTTAAAAAGCTGAGTTGAAGAAGGTCTGGACAATCTCATGGAGAGCTTATAAAGACTTGTAAGGTTTGAAAAAACAAAGTAATTTGAATATACTTATTTTCTGTATAAAAATTGGTACAAGCGTCGATACAGTCAAACTGAATGGGAGTATCCCTTAGCACAGCGAAGAAAACTGATTGGAAAACACCTAATTGCAGTAACAATTATACGATTGACAAAAAAAAAAAAAAAAAAAAAAAAAAAAAAAAAAAAAAAAAAAAAAAAAAAAAAAATCTGATTTGACGTAAATGAGCAGCAATCTAATCTCTTTTCAGGGCATTTGAGACCCATAGTTTCAAGGTTGCAAGGTTTGAACTTGTTCTCTGTGCAGAGGAATAAGTAGTGAGATTCACAAGGATCTTTAAGGCTAGCGCAGCCATCCTCCCAATTCTAGGCCAACATACCCATTCTGTTTTTTCTGCTAGTTTGGTTAAACTCGACTATTCTTTGGTCTACATGGTCATTTGAAGAGATGCAAACCCTGGAAAAAATCACAGTCTGCTAAGCTTGGACACCAACCTTGAGCAAAGAGTCGGCTGCTTGAAACGCTGTTTTGGAAAGAATCAGTTTAAAGACAAAATAAACCTAACAACTGTAGAAAGTATTCAGGAATGATAAAATAGTAGTAGTTTAGAAAATTTGTCTTCAAAACCCACAATCTAATTTTACATGCATATTAATTTAAGATGTAAATCCTTAACTTCCAATCCAACAACAATGACTACTCTCGAAATGAAACTTTTACATGAGAGGAAAAATTAACCACAAAAAGCAATGCATCACTTGCATTTAGAACAATATAATCTCAACAGGCTTTTATGTTAATGCCAAGTTTCATCTTTTACATCCTCGAATATGTTTAACTTTTCTTAAATCCGAAAAAAATCTCATGATAGGTCAATCAAATAAAACGTTCAAGTTTGATAAAGATTTACATCCAGGATTGCAAAAAGCAACATGCTTCAATAGATTCAAGGTATGCTACATGGTTTGTCATTGTTTCCGGTGTGTGGCGCACACAAAGCATCAGAGAGAGATAGAGAGAGACGAGAGAGAGAGAGAGAGAGAGAGAGAGCTCCTACCATTTCTAGCCGCACGCATTTCCATTCATGAAAAGCCTTCGTTGTGAATTTCTAACAGGTAGCTATTGGACCTGCAATTCAACAGCATGCTTTTATGTAAAATATTTACCAATTATAAATGCCGTATTATGCTAGTGCAACATTCTCTTAATCCCAGGAAAAATATTTTCTGCCAAAAACAAATTGGAACCTTAAGTCACACAAAAAATAAAGCCGTTTTTTTTTACCAAATTTAAGGTCAGCAAGTGAAATGTGCCCATTAACAAGCATACCAAAGATTAAGAGCCCACAATTGGATTTAAGCTCATTTGCTCAATGATTACGAACGAATTCATTCATAGCATTAAACAAAAAGATAGGGAGGCACAGCATGATCCGGGCAATTCAAAAGATTTCCCAGTAATTAGAAAACTAAAATATTCCTAGGCAAGAAGGCAGTTACAAAAGGCAACATTAATTCATTTCAAAAAAACAAAAGAGAAGATGTACTGTTGTTCAAAATAAGCAAAGCGAATGAAAAAGAAAAAGGGGAAATTAACAGTGTCACGGATAGCAATTAGAGAGGTTTAGGTAAGAAAAAAACACAAAAGCAAAGAATAAAAGGATTACCCTAGCAAACATTGACAATGGTGTGTGAAAATGTCAACGATGTTGCCAATATCTGTTTCCACCCGCTTGGCCATCAAGGATTTCTGCTTCTGTCAGCTGCCGCAGCTGCTTGCTGCTTGTTGCCCACTTCCTGCTCCAGCAACCCCAGCTCCTGCTAACTCCACCTTTATTCATTAGTCACCCCCAACAATAACCCACTCTGACCAAAATCCATCAAGTTAAAAAGGAGAACAAGGAAAAATCAAGTTTTCATTTATAAGAATCAAGTTCATTTATAAAGAAACTTTAGGACCCATAAGAGTTAAAAAGAAATCAAACCAAACTGGAGTAGACCAAAAACCAGAGCAAACAATTTGGGGTAATGCACAAATTAATAAGCAACAGCCCCTTTTCTTCGATCGTAAAATTAAAAACAAATTTAAATTCTGGCCTAAATAAATTTATTTATTGGAACCATCGGAGTCCAAACTTAATATGGTTTATAGGCATGATCATAAGAATGCGCATCCAATTAAGCATTCCCAACTCACATCAATAGTGAAAATGCTAAGTAGGCAAGATCATAAGGACAATTGCATCTTTGGTACATAATGAAATTCCTAACATTTGTGAAAAAGCAGGTGAACAACTTCAAAAGAACGAAAAACAGTAAAGCTCAAATAAGAGGAGGAACAGGCAAGAGGAATAAAAACACATGCCATTAAATGAACCAGTAAACAGATGAAGACTGATATTTAATAGATTTATCAATTGATGTTCACTCAGAATGAATTTGGAAAAAACAAAAGAAATATAATTCTAAGAAAGAAAGAAATAAAAATTCCTCAGATTGCAAATGACTATGCCCATGTATTCCCATTTTGCCCTAGACTTCAATTTGTCCTCTCAAATTAGTAGTTTCCCCTATTTACAAATTCCAGAATATAAACTCCTTTCATTCAAGTCCAATCCTAAGAATGTTGCCAATGGAATGCAATACTTATGGATTTGGACAATCTAATAGGAAGGAATAGAATAAGTCAAAGGGAAAATAAAATTCAATACACACCACACACCACCCACCAAAAAATCAGAATTTCTAATTTCTTAGGTTCCAACTAAAGTTTCTAAGGTTCCTGTCAAAAATTGGGGAGTAATCTCCCTAAAAACTGCGACTATCTACTTTGTAAATCCACAGAAATCAAACATTATAAAAGCACATTGCCTATTCCAGTCGGCTAATCAATTTCTCAATAAAGAATCACTATCCACGCCGTCGAATTCTTCAAAAAATAATGTATTTTCTCCATTTTCCCACCCTTCTATTTCATTCATGCTAAACACGATTTATTCCTTTAGGCCCAATATCATTTTATCACATTTTTACAACCAAGAAACCAGGTATTCAGTTTTACTTCATATCCATCTAGCATTTAATTTAAGTAGAAACAACCACCCCCCCCCCCTCTCTTTTCTTATTTATAATATATTCAAGTTTCTCCTAAAATTAAGCACTACTACGATTCATATTGCTTAAAATCAAAATTATGCTTAAGCATACCCCCCCCCCCCCCCTCTCTTTCTTATTTATATATATCAAGTTCTAAATTAAGCACTACTACATTCATATGCTAAAATCAAAATTATGCTTAAGCATACACCCTTACGTTAACTATTTCATATCTCAACTACTTAAACCATGACAGTTTTTCTTTTTTAAAAAAAAAAAATTCCAGATTGAATCTTTATCTAATAGGATTTCGACTAGGAGTTAATAATTAGTACGTATATGAAATAAATCTAGTCGCTTTAACTCAAGTTGCCGCAGTCCCCTTCCATGGCTGCTGCCAACATAAGGAATTCTCAAATTTCTAGCTAATATTTACAATATGTTTATCAATTTGATCCTTTACTTAGTAGAGAAGTCATTTATAGTATCAATTCTATCTATATTTAGCAACAACCCGAAATTATATCGCAAGAACAGTAACTGAGGATTCCTAAATTTTCATAATTTCACAAAAATTTCTGAACTAAGTGCAGTGACTACTAAGAAATGAAGAAGGAATTCAAATTCATTGTTATTTTCATAACATAATCGCTAATTGTAGCCCAGTCCCAAAATTTTAAACATAAACAGTAGTCTTGAATCACTAGTTTTAAAATTTAACAATTTCTTGAACAAAAGCTGGCAATTGTTTAAGGAAAATGTATCGTTAAAAGGAAAGATTTCTAACTCACCTAGTCAAGCGGAGTCGAGAAACGGCAAGGAATTTCCTGGAGATCAAACTGCCTCGATTCTCTGTCTCCCGGCAAGACTAGGAATAGAGGAACTCAAAGCTAAGCTAAGAAGGGAAGGTCTTGGTGGCTCTGGCAGCAAGTTTTAGCCGGAAACAGAGGAGGAGTTCGGTTGCTCGGCGATTGGCAGCTTGGCCAGAAAGGATAGGAGGGGAGAGGCGTGGGGTTTTATTTTTTGGGTCACATCTGGTCCGATTCAAGCTTTTTAACTAATGGTTGTGATTCGATTTAGTTAGAAGTTTCTACTTTCTAGTTCCTTGGTTTTAGGTTCTTGGGTTTGATTTCATAACGGTTTAATTCAATTATACAAAATGATAAAATAAAATGAATTAATTATAAAAAATGATAAAATAAAATAAATTTATTAGGAAAAAAGGAGACTACAATTTAAATTAATTAGTATAAAATTGAGAAATATTTTACTTCTCATCTAATAGGCATGAACTAAAGAACCGATAAAGATTTCCTAAAATATGAGTTATTGATCCCAATTTCTATAAGTTTTAATTAATGATTTACATAAAATAATTCCCTCTATTAAAATTAAATTTATTATAATTTATTACTAATTAACTCTTCAAAGTTCATTTAGAATTTCATGCCTCTAAGAAATTATAAAATTAGAAAAGGGTTTGAGATTGAAGATAAAATATTAGTCACTCAATTCCACGTTAACAATTAGGACAATGGTGTAAGAATTATTGAATTTATGATCAAAATAATGCTTTGTAAAAAACAATGTATTTACACATTTAATTTCATTTGTGAACAATTTATAAATAATGAAAGTTTTAAGGCTGCAATTTTTAAACTAGGAAAAAAAATCCTTAAATTATAGTTGATATTTTGGTCATTTCGTACAAAATAAAGAAATTAAAGCGTTAAACGAAATTGGTATAATAAGTTAAGAACCCCATAGTTAATTTAATTATAATACAGGGATCAATTTCTCAATTGATTGACAATTAAAAAAAAAAAGATTATTTCGGACAGAAAGACCACAGTGTTAACAGAATCATAAGTTAATGATTTTATAATTAATTTTTTTTAAATAGAGATCCTCTTATATTAATTGGACTACAATTAAAGAACCAATTTTAATTTTTTTTTTTCCGAAATTGTAAGTTAAAGAACGGTTCCGTTGAACTATCTCAAAATAGCTAACAATGTTAAATCTATGCTATTTAAGTCTTCAAAGAATTTAAGATACAAATCTTGGAGCCTACAATTAGTAACAAAATAGAAATTGATGATGTTTGATTTTAGCAACGCAAGTGGGCGTCGCATTTTCTTTTCTTTGTCCAAGATTCAATGTATGGTAAAGAACAAGAGTGTCTTATATCTTGTCGGAATCCATTGTCGAAAACAACTCATTTCCTACCTGGGAGGCTGCCACAACTTCTTACTCACCCACATGTGATTCACATTTAGGTAGTAGGGGCAGCCAAAGTTTCCATCTGAACCAAACTAACTAAGCTTTTTGTTTTGATTTTTGATCCATCCATTCTCCAACATTGCTTCCATCGGAATCCAATATATCAATTCCGGTGAGTTCTCAAAATGAAAATTTCAGTTTTTTAACCAATTATAATTTAGGAATTCGATACCATTGTATTTTTCCACCGACACCATCTATACTGTTTGGTCTAATTTCTACATGTTTGAGCATTAGTCACATTTATGGCTACACATTTTTATTATGGGAGTTAGTTCAATGAATCCCCGATTCTGATTTAGCGAATTAGTAATTTTGGACCAATAAATTTTAATATCGCTTTAAGTGCGAGCCCTAATAAAAGAGATGTGACGCCTTCAAATGAAGTACCAAATTTACATATGAAAATTCGTACGTCAGATTTTTTTTAATTCTGCCGCACCCTTAAAACTTAAAGGCTTTTCTATCAATAGAAAGATCAACGTTTACTAAATTGATAAAAAATCTTTCCTCAAACTTAAAAGAATTGAGTTACCCTTGTTTGAGTGACTCGAAAATTTTTTTTCTCTATCATCTAGTTGATTGACTTATACACACACAAGCAATGAATAAAGGGTAATTTAAAAGATTTGTTTGTTGAAATTAATAATTATTTTGTATGTTTCTTTTCAATAAAAAGAAATTCATACGTATAAAAATTGACAGAAATATTGTATTTAATCATTTAGGACTATATTTGTTTTTTTTATGAGTATTTTCATACTTTCATATACGAGGCTAGTCTTATTTTGAAAATTAAAGTTTATGACTTGATACCCTAAATATTTCTTCACATGTCAAATCTCTATTATAAAGCAGCAGTATGTCAATTCATAAAAATTTAACAAATTTTTTAAAAATTAATCTTTATTATTACTCATTAATTTTGATATAAAATAATGTTGAATATCAAAATTTTCTCTTACAATTCATCCCTCACAATATAATTTTTTGGTATAAATTACTGATATTCAGATCCTATTACCAGAACCGTCTAATCCAGCTCAAGACATTACGAGAAATTATTACAATATATGATGAAATACAAACGTTAGTTGCGCATTTTCATGAAGTCCATATATGATGAAAACCCTTTCTATGCTATCCTTCTAATTATTGAAAGATGTACCTTACTTTAAAAAAAAAAAAAATTATAGCCTCCAAAATGGAAATCCCTGGAAAACAGGATGTGGTTTGGAAATTATCTCAAAAGAATTTACTCTTTATATAAATTTCTCACATTTTTCTGTTTTTATCTTCCATTTTTTTTACCCCCACTTGCCTCTTCTCCCACAGAATAAGCAGCAATTTGAAGAATCTTTCACCGGTTATTTTATTTGACTCATAGCTCGTTTGCCCATGGTATTTTTATTCTACACAACAACTGGTACCTCTATTTTTTTTTTTCCCTTTTTAATATACGGTCATAGATTCGACAACATAATTTAAATTTCTGGCTTCGCCTTGAAACAAGTCAATCCTGTTTTAGTTCTATACGGCAATTGGTGCCTCATTGTCCTATTGCAATGTCTTTTTTTTAGAATTCAGAGAAAATTCGAATTTGAATGTATTATTAGATTATAAATAAACTTATCATTAGAGTTCCTAACTAATTCTGAATGTCTATTATTCCATTGTATGTAACATTATTACTAGGCTATTCTTAACTATTCTTTTGGGTGTCTGATCGTATATATTCTATGTCAACAAAAATTCCTGTATATACATGAAAATTGAAAGGAAAAGAACGGAGTGGTAATTAAATTGACAAAGAAGAAAAAGTCTACCTCTATAGTCATGGAAGAAGAAAAAGAAAAGCTCACCTCTTTACATACTCTCAAGAAATTGAACACCTACCTCTACTCCTCAGACAATCTTATTCATCTACAGACACTCTAAAAGAAAGCAAAAATTACATTACTATAAAACATATGCCCACAAAATGAGAAGGAAAAAGGAAAGAAAAATCAAAGTGAAAGCTCTGGAACTTGAGATGGCATGAAGGCCATGAGAACAAGAAGGCACAAGATCATGACCGGTACAAAAAGAACAATCCCCGGCGGCGGAGGCAACGGTGGTAAAACTAGAGGCAGAACAAGAATCGACACCGTGAAGACAACCATGATAATGATCGAGTTTGAGTAATTACACCTTGTCATGACTCATGACGAGTCAACTTCATAGGCTAGCTTTTTCATTGGTTTTACAGATTGAAATGTTCAAGAAAGAGAGAGAGAGAAAGAAAGAACTTACATGGGAATGGTGACAAGACGAAAGAGACATTAATTAGAAGTCTGAGAATTAGCAGGTTAGATTTATAGGTAGCTAGGAAAGGCAGTTAATGACTAACTATTAGTTTACTTTGTAAGTGTATGTCTTGATTCAACTAATCTCAATTTAATTATATATGGATTAGCAAATTAATACATGGATAGTGCCAATGGTTACAACGCAACGGCCATGTGATTTTATTTATTTTTTCTCCCATGGAGTGAGGTTTATGAAAGACTATTTCGGGCGTATTTTTCCTTCCAATTAGAAATTATATATATCAAGTTGCCTTCAAAACAAAAAGTTGGTAGTTTGTTATTGAAATTCCTCCTCAAAGTTGGTTTTTTCACCCCATATGAAGTTAGTTTTTCATTAATGCATAATGTATTTGCGACTTCTAATTGCATGCATTTGTAAATCATGCATCACCAAAACGACATGAAACACACACATACATATATTGTTGTGGGGATAATTTAAATATTTATAGTCTATATTTGATCAAAACGACAGAGGAATTTGTGGTAAAATGCATGTATTTGCAGTATATATACTGAATGTGTACTCGATTCTGATGCACGTCAGAGAACCATTGCATCAAAGCTGAGAAGAGCTCAGAGTTAATTAATGAGAGCTGACATGACATTGACATTCCTTTCCTTCTGGTGTATTGCTGGTTTCATTAGGTTGTCCATTTTAGTAAGTAATCAGCCCACGACAGGAATTTATAGTTAAGGTTTGTTTTTACCTTCCCAACAACTTTGTGGTTAAAAATAATAAATTCAATTTTATATAAATGTTTTCCTTAAATATCTATTCTTAAATCAACTATATGACTTGGTTTCTTCATTACATACAATGCACCTTCTTTCTTTGATTGGGAAATTCGTAGAAGTTGGTAATTTTTACATTATTTCCTCTTTTTCTGACTTTTGATTTGGTCAAATATATGAATTTCTGAGTAATTGAGGAAAGTTTTCAATGCATTTAGCTGTATATATTGTTTTCTTATTACATATATATAGATGTTTAATGCACCAAGTAATTCCTTAAATATTAATGGAATTATTGAAAAAATACGTTATTTTAAGAGGTAAAATTAAAAATTTTCAGTATTTTAATGCACAATTTTTTAAAAAAAATTCGTATGGGTCACCCTTAGTACTCCTCCCTCACGCCATATTTCACGTATTATATATAATTTATAGTATGACTAAATTTTTTATTCGATATATTTTAGTATTTATATGATCTCATTACTACATATATGTGTGAACATAAAAAAAATTGATTGTGAAATAATTTTTTAATATTAATATATTTCTTTCGTAATTAATTATTTTAACTTTTGAAATCAATTATAGATCTTTTTAGTTAGATGAAAAATAATAATTATCATTCATGCAACCGTATGATCAGTGGAATAAATATTTTTAATTTTCAAACAAAAAAAAAATTGACTAGTTATTTTTACAGTGCATAAATCAATTTTGCTCGAAGCACTCTTGATGCAGGTTAAATGCACTGACATACTCAAGGGCGGAGCTAAGAAAAATTGTTTAAAGGTCCAAATGAAATCTTTTAAAATTTCAGGGGTCAAATATAATTTTTTATATTTTGAGGGATCAAGATATAATTTCTTTATGAATAAAACTTGCTTGCAGGGTTGGACAAAATGTATGAAATCATCTATATACCAAGCTTATCGATGTAAGTCTTTTTTTTTTTTTTTTTTCAAAGTGTTATTATTTTATCTAATCAACGATCATAAATACATTATTTGAACTAAGAAACTATTATTTAAATAGTTTGGTGTATGAGTTAATCCATATACCTGAGCGTGAAATAAATGATTTTATTTTTTTATATATATAAAAAAATGAATTACTTAGAGAGCTGTGGACCCTTAGGTCTCCAGATACCTCCACCCTGCCTATGCTTTATAAACTCACACTGTGTGTGAGTCAACAGAAATGCATTTAACATAAGAAAGCAATATGCATGTATGTTACCTTTATCTTTAAACGACTCCGGCCACACTTTTTATTTACAATTTCATGAGATGTCTAGACCTGTATTTATTTTTACGGTCTTTAATAAATCTGATTAATCTCTTTATTGCTTTCGAAAGCAAAAGGGATTGATTCGGAGGAAATTTATATTGCGGAGGATTAAACTTATAACATAAATGATATCGGAAGTGCTTTTTATCACATTATTACATTTATTTCATTACCTATTAGCTGCGAGTTACGTGCCCTAATTTAGCAGAAGCTTAAAAGCTAAGCGGAAAAAATATTGAAATTTGGAGTTGCTTACTATTAGAAGGAATTTATTCGAATGCATGTTTGGGTCCAAGCGTCTTATACAAACTAAAGAACCAAAAATTAGAATTGTGAATTAATAGAATTCTTACTCCTCTCTCTCTCTCGTCTCCTCTTATTTGCAAGGTATCTCTTCCATCTTCTTTCCAATCCTATACTACAAAACAGTCAGATTTTCAAGCACCATGATACCCCCAAATAGAAAAAGAAAAATAAAAGAGAGAAACACATAAAAACACTGAAAAAATTATTGTAAATATGCAAAAAAATATAGATATGCTGTTATCGTTGAAAAGGAATAACAAGAAAACTGGAAAAATAATTTTTTGTGCATGCCTTGAATTTCAAATCCATGTATTTATATAGGCTTGTTGAGCCTATACTTTGTGCCCACAAGATTAGCATTAAATGTTGGCTTCTTCAGCCAATTTAGCAGCAGGAATCAGGTAGTTCTTTTAGTGTTATTCAGTGCATTTTCTCTTCAACTTTGCATCAATTTCTTTTCTTTAATTCTTATTATATATTCTTAATCATGTTTGATTCGTTTGAAAATGTTTTTCTTTTCTGTTGAAAAGGAAAAGCTGATTATAGAGATGTCAATATAAAAGTAAGAGACCTCTTTTCTGAAAAGAAAAATTAGGGTTAAGGGAATGACAGAAGGAGGTTCATATTTATGTACAGTGTATGATGGCAACTGTCTTTGTAATAAATAAATCAGAAGTGGCTGTGGGTCACTGTCAAACTCCACTGACTTGGTTCAACCAACCTTAATGCCTATGGTATTAGAATTTTGGCTATGAGGAATTATCATATGCGAGGAAGCCAAAAAAGGAAAAAAAAACTAATTTTTAATTAAAAAAATTTGTAACCACAAAATTTATTTTCACCGTATTCCTCTCATAATAAAGACATTTAGTTGAACTGATTTTTATATAATAATTAACCTGTAAGTGTTTGGTAAGAGTTTTAATCGGCAGTTGATAAGTTATATAAGTTTCAATCGATCATATTTTGAAATTTATTTTGACTTTATTCAATAAAATTAATTATTTGTTAGCTATTTTCATAATCAATTACTTTATCAAACATTAAAGATAATAATATTTCATCCAAAAGTTAAAGGTAATAACGTTTCATAACCCGTTTGACAGGTTCAGTTCAATTTTTTGGTCTTAACTGAACTTTGTCCACCCTTATTATCATGACAGCAAAACCAAACGGGCTCAATTAATCAAAATTAATTTGTACAACTTAAGGCTTGGTTCAATTGATTAATGGGTTTACTCCACGTTTTATTGATCATGGTACAATTCTTAGAGACCAATAATAAAGAAAGATATTTACTCATTTGTGTACTTCTTAATATTGGCGTGAATGACGGACACCAAGGCATAAAGGTAGATCAGGTTCGACGTGAATGACTTAATTCTGGCACAAATGCATAAAGGTAGACTTATATTATGATCGTAGTTGCAAGACACACAAGATTTATATTACAACGTGGGATTAATATAAACTTCAACCTTCCAACTTAAATGATATCAAAATAGTTTTTGAGTACAATATCTCGTACCTAACCTTATCACTAAATAAAAAGCAAGTGGGGAATTCATGGAGGAGGCACATTTCCCATTTACAAAATCAATTTGAAAATGGCAAGTTGAATTTTTGCTGCCACGAAATTGGAAGCCATGCCTACAAAAAAGCAGGCTACGATATTTGAAACAAAAGAATGGATTAATGTTTGTTGGTCAAACTAAAATATTAAGACAGTGACCGCTCTGATAATAACTACTGAATATAATGACAAAAAAAAAAAAATACAATTGATAATGACCCTTTCCTCCATAATGCAATGCATCGATCCCTCTCTATCTCAATTCTATTTCTCCAAACAAAATTTCACTATAAGTTTATTGGTATAATGATGAAACGGAGGGAATGACTTTGCCCGTTATATGTCGTTTTCAGTCAAATTTTTATTCTAATAAGTTAAGTTTAGTAATCTTTTTTAATTTGTATACTCTCTTTCAATGCTAATCCCATTTACAAGAATTATTATTCAATGTTATGGGTGCTATATATATATATATATATATATATATCTTTCATGTAATCCCATTTTACAAGAATTATTATCAATGTTATGGGTGCTATATATATATATATATATATATTATATATATATATATATAATATATATATATATATATATATATATATATATAATATTATATATATATATTATTATTTTTCTTTATTTCATGTGGCCAGAAATTAAATATTTTAATTTTTCTGGGTGTGGTGGAGTTTACGCAAATATATAATTTTATTTTTCTTTATTTCATGTGGCAGAAATTAATATTTAATTTTTCTGGGTGTGGTGGAGTTTACGGCAAAAGGGAGAGCTGAATCTGTTATTTTGCTCATTTCAATTTTCACATTGAAAGAAAAAGGATATTTTACATTTTATTTTCGCCTAATAAATAATTTTACCTGTATCAATTGTGGTACGATCTATCTTCTCGCTAATGTAAAAAGCGAAAGATCTTAGACAGTAAGAGTTTTTATTAATTTGATGAGTTAAAGAAACAACTGTCCATTTAGTTCAACACATTATGTTATTTCGACCCATTGAATCTCTTAATGAATAACAAAAAGATAATTTAATTTCTCACAATTATCAAAAAGTAAATGTTATTTAATTAATAAAAAATCTAGGTGTTTATTAAAAACAAGAGAGTGGTATAGATATTTTAAGAATTTATTGAAATAATTAATAGTCTTTTACTTGATCGAAGAGTAGATTTAAGATAAGTAAACATCGAGAAGCAAATGATGTCTTACTTAAAATTTATTTTAACTATATTTTTCAATTAAGAAGCACTATGATCTTCTATTTAAAAGTAAATTTAAGCAATTTAAAAACCAATCAAACACATTTTTACACTATTTATAAAATATTTGCTTTGATCGTGGAACAGAAATACGCTTATAAATTTAAAAAAAAAAAAAAAGATTTTATATATACATGCGTATCATGCAATTTTATTTGCTTTGCTTTCCTCACAGAACATTAAATCATTGATAAGATTATCTGAATGTACAGGGTGAGTGACAAATGAAAAGCTTGAAAATGTCGCCACATAAAGAGTTCCCAAAGGAAGACAGAAGCAAACAAAAACAGTACGACAAGATGTAAAACGACAAGGTGCATGCTCCTTATGGTGCTTCATTTTCATCAAACATTTTCATTACCATATTCATCATATCATAGGGTCAATCTTGCACTTCCTTTTTCTTTTTATCTTGTCAAGGGATTTAATGATAATTTATGCCAGCTAATTATCTTTTCTGATTCTCATTTTTTCTCAAGTATTATTTTTTAAATATGAAACAGGAAGAGATGTTTATATTTATTAGATTCAGATCTAATTACATGATAAAATAATAATACCACGTTAGCATAAAAAATAATCCACAAAATAATTAGATTAATGAAAATAAACTATTTTCAGAAAAAAATTTACCTTTATTTGAAATATGAAATAGTGATTACTCAAAGAATTTATAAAAATATTATCTCATCTGAATATAAAAATACGTAAAAGAAACAGTGAAAAATTTGTCATGTTGTGCAGATAAATATCTTGCTCATCATGTTGGAGAATTGTTTATTCCTTTGAACTCCATCATTTAGATACCCTGCGGTGTCTGCGTTTCCACTTTTCTATGACGACAGTGGCTTAAGTTTGGTTATTCTTGATAAATGTATATAGAAAGACAGGTAGCCATTTGTGTCTTTCCTTCCAAATTCAGTGCATCAACCTTTCTCTCCTTTTGACAAAAGGACAGGATGGTTGTCAAGCCAAATGGGCTTTTTATAAATTAAAAATAAGTGATAAAAAAAAATCTAAATACAATTTATTTAACTTTATCTCTGCATATTTGTTTTTTTTTTTCTCGAATTTAATTCATTTTCAAATATAATTATTAACTTTGGGTTAACTTTAGCTTTGTATTTTTTTTTTTTGTATATATTTATTTTTTTATTATTTAGTAACTCCATAGTTCATATGAATATTTAGTTTTGATCAAATTGAAAAATTATTTGATTTGGCAATAGCATTAATGTAATAATTAATTCCCACATATCACTCTCCCCTTGTTCCGGCTGACAAACCAAATCTAGAGTTCAATCCAGCTGTGACTCACTCCATGCCTATGTAATATTTATATCGTACTCCATCTACATTTGACTTGCTTAATTAAGCATGGCAGAACTGTTAACTAATTGGCAGCAGCCCCATTCATTTTATTAATTAATTAATTTTTCAAAAGACAGTATCAAATGAATAATAAATGCTATATGCAAGTTCTTTGTTATATGATCGTCTCTGTAGCTTTTTCTTTTTTTTTTTCTTCTAGATTTTATTTTTAAATCACCGCTGACTATTTTCTTTAGCCGTGTAGTTTCTTTTTTCCTATCTATCGTTTTTCTATAATAATTTATAGATTTTGAGTGTTTTTAATGGTTGAAGAGTTTTTATTTGGAACTTTTATTTTTTTAACTATTCGAAATATAAGATGGATTGTTGTTTGCTTGTGATTGGAGATTTCAGATTTTCAAATTCGGATAAATTTCTTTTACCAATGAAGTTAGTATTGTGGCTTGTTCAAAGTCTGATATATTAAACTTTTATACGAGCGTAAGTTGTAATAAATTTATGAAAAAACAACGTTCAGGACAATATCGTGGTGTCGATTAAGATTTCAATTTTCTAAATTTATTTTTTATTTTCATATAAATAATATGATGTATTCAGTTTATATTCATTTGTTAAGTTTTAAAAAAAAATTATCAAAAAAAATAGAATACATCAGACTAAAAATATTAGATTAAAATTTTCTTTTAATATTAAAAAATAAAAGATTCGAACATGAATATATTAATAGTTATTAGATGTTATTTAGTTTAAGATAAACAGCGCTAGATTAAGATATTGTACAAGTTGTTTAGTTTGCAATTATTCATTAAAATAGAAATCGGACAACATAGGGCAATTTAAAATTGAAGCGTGTGGCTTTTTAAAATAAGGAATGAAAGATCCGAAATGAACGTAGCCACGCCCACACGTGAGGAGACGGTTCAGGTCGGTCCTTACACAGTCACCTAGGAAATACACCCTTCTATTGTTTTTCATCCTCGACAAGGATTGGTATTTAAATCTCTCACCAGTAACGTAAAATTCACTGAGTTACAATCTAATACTGCTGATTTAAATGTCTACTGTGTAAAAAATTTGAACCTATTGCTCTTTATAAATTTTGGGTTCAAAGATAATAATACTAATATTGTTAATAAGTATGGAAATTTCTTTTTTTTTTTTAAAAAAAAACAAATCAATCAAATTCAACTAATAACAGTTTAGAAATATTAAAATAATAATTTAAAGGGTTAATAATAAGTTAAGGCTAAATCAGCTTAAAATATTACTCTGAACTTTTAATTTTTCTAATTAGTTAAAAGGTTAAATTGACATTTATTCCTAAATTAAATATTAAAATTTCGGTGATTCAAATCTCTAATAATTGTAGACGTAAAGGCATAATTTAGTGATAAATGTGCAAATGCCTGACAATAGATTCAAGTTTAAAGCCTTCATCCTCCAGTACTCAAAAATTCTAGCAGTTGCTAATTGAAAAACTTCATTTTATATTTTTTCTTATAAATTAGTAAAATTTATTTGATTTATTTTATAGTTGGACTCAATTATCATGGTTTGTTTTGTTTTTTTTATTTGTCCAAATCATAACCCACTTTTACTTTTTTAAATTACAATTATTTCTTAATGAATTCTTTAATATATACCCTTATTTAATACGTCAAGTTATCAATTGATTTTATTGAAAGTGATATCTAATATTATTATAGGGGTAGAAAAATTTTAGGTAAAATTTATTATTCAAACTATTTTAATTAATTTTTCCTAATCATTAGTGTAAAAATAATAATAATAAGTATATCTTTATGGCGGATTGAGTAATAATTTTACTAAATAATAATATAAACCAAATTTATCAAATAATATCATTTGATATAATTTTTTTCAAAAAATAATTTCAATCTCAAAACTAAACATACTCTAAATAAATTCTTTTAATGAAGATTTTCTTACTACTTCAAATATAAAAATAAAATAAAAATAATTTTTTTTGAAAAGAAGAATATAATTTTTAAATATTTACCTTTTGTAATAAGATAATCAAATTGAATGGATGAAATGGTCTTGACTCTTGATCTTACATTTAGATTTAAAATAACGTAGTTCATCACAAGAATCATTGTGGATAGTAGATGACCAAGATATTCATATTAAGCTAAAACTATTTTTAATTAATTACTTAATTAACATCACAAATTTTTATTTATTTACACTAAATACTGTCACTGCCTTCTTGAAATTATCAGAATGAATATCCCAAATCAAACCAAGAAAGAATACATTATCAAAATGATAATGCATATCTCTCTCTCTGCCTCCTTCATCTTCTTCCTCAAGCTTCCATTTAGAGGAGAAGAAAACAAAGATAAAGTATCTATATAGATATGCTTATCCGTTTCCTTCTTCTTTCCTTAAGCGATAAAACAAAGACCATAGTCAATATATATCTATATATTTCTTTGCATATATATATTTTCTTGAAGTATACTCATAATAATACTTAGACATAAAAAAATGAATCAACTTCACGTACAGATCGCACAGAAAAGGACAAGTAATAATTGACAACTAAAAATTTAAAAAACATCACACTTACGTACACAAATCTCGCTCTTTCTCTTCCTCAGAGATCTGGATTTGGTGGTTTCAGGCTTTTCTTGAATTTCCGACGAGAAATTCCGGCGTAGAGAATTCTTGTTTCTTTCTATTTATGAATATCAAACGGTAGAAACAGCAATATTGTGTTCATGTGATGGAGAAAAAGCCAAGAAAATAAGAAGACACATAATAAAAACAGGAATAAACAAGAACAAAAACGGCGGCGGTGATAATGGCGGCAACACCACCGGAAGTAGAAGAAGAGTTAGAGCCAGTAGAACCATAATAATAATCGACTTCAACATCAAGAAAAAGCCAAGAAAATAAGAAGACACATAATAAAAACAGGAATAAACAAGAACAAAAACGGCGGCGGTGATAATGGCGGCAACACCACCGGAAGTAGAAGAAGAGTTAGAGCCAGTAGAACCATAATAATAATCGACTTCAACATCAAATGGTTTCACATAAATAACCGGCCACCATAAACTTGCATCCTTAAAAACCCTTTTAACCGTTGGATGATGATCATGATAACCAAAAGGCAATTTTTTGATGATGATCATAAGGGAAGTTAGTATTATCCATTGTTGTTGCAGCGGAGCATTACTGTTCTTTGATGTTGGAAAATATGGAGTTGAAAGAAGAAGAAGAAGAAAAAGAAGACAAGTGGGTTTGTGTCTTGTATTTGAAAAAGTAGATATGAAATTGAAAGAGACCTGTGGCTTTGAGGAATTAAGAATGGGTCCCAAAGGAACTTTGTTTCTGTCTCCATTCAGCTAATCCCAACTCATATGGATTTAGAGTATTGACTAGTGGATTATATAAATACTAATAGTTATTTTTCAGTCTTCATTAATCATATCATTGTAAGATTTTTTTTTTTTCTTTTTTTTACATAAGTCTTATTCCGCAGCCCCTTTTTATGAAACGTCGCTCCGCATTAGCTTTTAAAGTATTTTTTTTATTAATTATAATGTTGGGTATTTTAACACCTAAATTTTTAATTATTTTTAGTTCAACATCTAAGTTTTTAATTTTTTTTTTTACAATTATACTCATGATTTAAGCTAAATAGCTATTTTTAGTTTTAACCATCTGGTGTCCGAAGCTCACTGGCCCAATTAAGGGGGTAAAATGCTCCCTCCCGAGTATTTAAAGAAACTTTATACATAGGGCTCGAATTTGAAATTTTTGGTCAAAAGAGAAAGAATTCCTATCATCTAATCTCATCTCTCGGAGTTAAACAATTATTACATTTCTAATTTAAACCGCTATATAAACAGTTAACAGCCAAAAATAATTAATAGCTATTAAAATAACTAGTGTTAGAATCCGCATGATGCGCGGAACAATATTTAAGGATGAAATAATTTTTTATATTTTGATATAAACACAATACGAAAATTAAACAGTTGACATAAACATGACACGTTTAACCCGCTTAATATCATAAACAAGTTAAGTGGGTCATGTTGACCCATATGCAACTCACTTAACCTGCACCCGCTTAATATCATAAACAAGTTAAGTGGGTCATGTTGACCCATATGCAACTCACTTAACCTGCTTATAATATTTTTAACTTTTAACCTATTTAACTCCAATCATATTAAAATAAATAAATTTTCACGCGTAAAATATATAAATTCTTCAAGACTTATAATTAAAATAAAAAACTAATACAACAAAAAAATTTAAATAGATTTTAGTTTGAGTATTTATATCTAACACTAAAATTACCTTTTTACTCTTAAATAAACGGGTTACTCTCCTAACCCGTGTCAACCCTCTACACAACATGTTTATATTCGTGTCATAAATAAGTGACTCGTTTATGACATAAACTTGTTTAACCTCAATCCTAACCAATTTATTACGTGTGTTAGATGAATTGTATTCGAGTGTCCTGACCAATTTTAACAACCCTAACATGACCTGCATAAAAAAATACACACTATTAATATATTTTCGTGATAATAATTTTGAGAATTTAACAAATTATATTGAAATAAGAAATTAAGTATTTTTTTTATTTTATGTTTACGATTTATTATAAATGATCATTTATTTATTTGAAAAATTAATGTATTTATACTTATTTAGTGTAGTATATTATAAGCGTGTAGATTTCCTATTTTTTTAAAAATTATCGTATCGTGTACGTTCTCCTATCGCGTGATGAAGTGTTTTTTTAATTTATTTATCGCGTGATGAAGTGTTTTTTTAATTTATTTTTGTATCTTTTTTTTATTAATGAATAATCAAATAAATAAGAAGGGACTAAATTTTTTTTTTGGAAAAACTTTTGTTATTTATTTTTTGGATAAAAGAAAAATAAAACTAATTTTCCTATAAATTTATTTTTATAATTTTTTATTTTCCTTCTGATTTGAAGAGAAAATTATCGGAATTCTTTTCCCTTATATTCCTTTCTTATTTCCAAATAAAATAATTTTTATTTATTAATATTAATTTAGTTTTTCTCCTCCAATATGATATTATTTGAAAATATATTTATTTTTTCCCTTATAATCTGCACGATGCGCATGGTAATATTAAAAGTTGAAATAATATTTTATAACATCATTCAAAAATAGTAAATATATATAATAAAATGATAAATTGTATCTTATTGAGATATGCTGAAAAGTTGCGATGCGAAAGTATGTCTTTTTTAAGTATCATGCGAAACTTTTTATAAGGTATGGAAAAACATCATGCATTTGGTTATAACCTACATAAATAATGCATACACAATATTAACATTATTTTTCAAATAGGTATATAATTTTGAGAGTTTTAACTATTGAAATTAAGAAATTAGTATTTTTTTTATTTTTATGTTTATGATTTATTATAAATGATTATTTATTTATTTGAAATATTAATGTATTACTTATTTAGTATATTATGTCCTAAGCGTGTGAATATCCTATCTTTTTTAAAAATTGTCATATTCGTATATTCCCAACCTAATCAAGCTAATCAACTCCTAGTATATGAGACTATTGCTTACACCAAGCTGAAACACCCCGTAATTTTATTTTCAAAAATTTAGAATTTTTATTAAATCAAAAATCCGAATGTTGACGGTATGGGCTGTAAATACCAAACAATTTTAATTTGAGCCCAAATTTGCCAATTTTGCCAATTGGGCCCAAAGCCCAAACATTTATTTCTATTGGAAATTCCGTTCGGAAGAACCTTTAAATTTCCGTAGAAATAAATATTTAAACCTCTATCGAATATGATTAATATTAATTTTTAAATGGAGGGAAATGTTATGGAACCTAACTTAAAAAAATCAAAATAAATCGAACCGGACCCGAAAATTCAAATGATTTCGAAAAACCACGCCGAATAACTTAAAACCAGTGCGAAAAAATCGAGAAATCAAGCAAAAATCGTCAGCCAATTGGAATCAGATCAAACCGCGTTCGTAATCGAACCGGAATGATCTAGAAACGACTTTGGTTTTCTTCTTTTCTTTCCTCTCTCCTTCTTCTTTCTGGGCGTGCGACAGCAGCCTCCCCCTCCCCTTTCCTTCTCGTTTCCGGGCCACCGCTCAACGAAAGCGAGGGTGGCGGTCGGCTTCGTCTGGTACTGGTGGGTCGTGTTTCCAGCCTCCTCTCGCCGAAAGAGCTTCAATGGGAGCGTAGACGGAGCTGTTCTCCTGGACAGTTTCGTGTTCACCAATTTCCGGCGATCACGCCGGATTCCGGCAGCTTTTGAGGCGAGGACACGCTTCGGTCGACTCCCCTCTTCTCGGAGATCTCTTTTTCCCCAACAATTCCGGCGATGAAGCTCGGATGACGGAGCTATGCCATTTAATGGCAGTGGCGAAAGCCACTGTCGGGGCCATTTCCGCTAAAGCAGCACACCCAGTTCAAATGGAAACACGGCGATTGGAGTCCCCCATAAGGATTTCGAGCTTTTGGTTGTGCGAGTTCAACAAATTTCTGGGTAAAAGTCGATTTTCCGGCCACACGTGGACGGCGGATACGGCGGCGGTTCCGGCGACCGGCCGGCGAGCCTCCGCGTGAGCACCAGGGACAGAATGTTCCTCTCTTCGCGAGGATCGTGGAATTTGTCGCCCAATTTCAATCGGTACGCCCTAAACTCAATTCTCAATTTTTCGTATAAATTCTTGAATTAGTTAATTTACTTAAAATTTAATTGAGTAATTAAGTAAATAAATTGAATAATAAAGAAAATTTAGGTTATTGGAACTCGCCTAAAATTTAATATATAGGAACATTTTTAGGTCCTTTGTCATTAAATTAATTGATTAGTAGCGGATTTTGCGAGATACGGAATATATTTAGTTAATTGGTTTAGGATTTTAGAATAATGTTAATTGCAAATGAGTTTAGAACTTTGTCAAAATAATTTACATGAACTATAATTATATTTGGAGGTTTGATATAAAAAAAAAAAAAAAAAAAAAAAAAAAATTTTAATTCTAGCTAATATTTTATGTAAGCTAATTTAGGAAACTTTAATGAAATATCGTCTGGAGGTTAATAGTTTATATTAAATTGTTAATCTAATTGATTTGAATTCTTAGTTATTAATATGTGGAATTGATTATTTGGTTGGATACAGAGCTTAACAGATGTTGATTTACGAATGCTGGCGGATGTGAAAATGGTTGTTGTTGAGTGCCCGACGGATGGGGCTGTGTGTATTGATTGATATATATATGATATTATTGTGATATTTTAAACAGGTAGATAGTTTCCTACTTTAGGGGAGGTGCTGCCGAAATTTTCAATAGAAATTAGATTAGTTGTAAGTAAATAACATAATTAATAAATTTATTTAGATTAATTTCTATTAACTCAATACATAAAAAATATAGTGCCTCTAATCATTATGATTATCATTATTATTTATTAATTATTCATTATTTAATTTTATTTTGATATCATTGTTTATTACTATTATTATTATATTATATTTATTTTATCTTTGTTGTTGTTAATATCATTTATTTAATTATTTTAATTGTATTTAAGAATGAATTGCCTAATTGTGCATTGCCATTATGATGGCTCAAAACTGATCATATGTCTGCATTTGATTGCATTTGTTTGATACCTGTGCTTGAATATTGTTATGCCCTTGTTTGTGTGGAAATTGGGAGAAGTGACCACCATGGTTTGTGAGGACGGTCTGTGATATGGATCCGATTATGATTTGACATTTGACCGTCGGCGGAAAATGGGAGATCGGCGCCCCCTTGTGACTGATTGATATTAGATTATATGGGAATTCACAGGATGGCTTCTTGTTGTTT